GATTCCAACCGATATACGGGAAGAATTAATGGCACAGTAATCCATTTTGTTCCCATCATAATCTTCATTTTTGTAAATATGATTTTTTTTATCCGCTTTTGTTACTTTGCAGCTTGTCCTGATGAATCTGTTAACTTCCTGAACAAGTTATTTGATTGAGAATTCGATAAAACTTTTGCAAATAACTATAATTCGAGGGTCGATATTGACGATGATGAAAGAGAGTATCCGAAGTTTAATATCGCTGTGGTTATATTTGAGATCAAGTATTGTTTAGCAGATATATGAGTTCGAATAATTTATTCGTGCCACTTCAATTCAATTTTTGAAAGATTTTTGATAATTTGAGGGTATAACTCTCGACAGTTTCGCAGCCATTTGAACGAATGAAAGCAATTGCATCTCAATTTCCGAATTATTTGAACAATTGAAGTCGAAACGTCCAAATACTCAAATATCAGAATGAACAATTTTTTCTCTCTCTTTTTTCGCGAATATTCGACATCTCAAAAAATTAGTCACGTTCTTCGAAATCAGACTAATCAAATAATCGAATATTTTGAATATTTTACTTGGACACAAACACTCGGCCATAGTTGCAGTCAATTCCTTTGGTTTTCTCTAAGGCATAATTTTCATGAATAACCCAAATACAATCCAATGCTTTTAGGATAAAAAAGGATGCGCAAGGAAAAATAGGAAGAATGAAAGTTTTTATAAAGAATGTTGAGAATCCTAGGATGTGTGAACATCCCGGGAAAGATCCTCACTAGCCTACATTAACTTCATATAAATAAAATTTTACCCAGAAAGTATGAGCAAAATTTGAAGAGCATTAGGATGAAGAAGATACACTTATATAACGCAACCTTAGGCCTATGTGTTATCTATGTTTGCTTATATTCGCTTCACATTTGAGTATCTGAGCACTTTAGTAGAGAACTGCTTGCAAAAAAAGCAAAATTGGCATGGTTTACGGTGTAATAGAATCTTCCATCCATTTTGCACATTTGGCAATGCATGTTTACATAATCAAAACGTATCCCTCCAAAATTTCTCCCTCACTTTGTAATTTGAGACAAAAAAAAAAACGAAAAGGGTTTTTTCTTTACAAAACCATAATTTAAGATGGTTCAGCTTGCTATGAGCTGACACTATTTTGAAGCAGTTGTAATAAGTTGCCCCGCAATTTGTTGCCAACCAAAAATTCGTCCGGAGAAGTATCCAGTAACTAAGGCTGAAAATTCGATATAGCTTTCAGTTGCTAAAATCTCATTATAAATACCCATTTCGAGTAGATATCTTTTTTGTGAGCTGCATTTTCCCTTTTTGCCGTGCCCTTTTTTTACGGCTGAATACACCTAATAGAATTTACTGTTTTCTCGCCAGTTTTTCTGCTTCTTCATCCAGAAGAAGGAAATTCTTGAGTAAATGCAACTTGTCACCACCAATACAAACTTAGTTGTAAAATTGTACGATTCAAAATTATATAGTTGCTTGTAAGATTTACCAACAACTACTTCTTACTGACTTTCCTTTGAGCACCTAAAAAATACAAATTGTACAGAAATTATTTAGACACAAAAAATTTTCGTTTTTTCCCAGCGCATTTTCCCTTGCTGCAAAAAAATCCTGCAAACATAGGACGATTTTTTTTCTTTTTTCTTCTTTACATGCTACCATGTCGCCCAATAACGAACCATTTTCCTTTCGATCTATTCCAGATTTGTTGCACTTTTGGGAATAGCAGCAAGGCATGGGAAAAAACTGCACATTTAACACTACGACAATGCAAACAAGTATTCTTTGGAGCGTACGTACACATGCGGGGTCCTATTTTTTTAAGAAAAATCTTGCAACGATAGATCTTCAGCTCCACAAAAGGATAACTCTCGATGTCTAGCGGATTTGTTA